TAGAGTGATTTAAAACCAATAAAAACAAAATAAAACAAACAAAAAAGTAAAGCCAGTACCTTCCTACCTACTAAGTGATTTCAAGATAGGAAAAACTTCTTGCATTCTACATTTAAAAACAAAAGTCAAGTTCATATGTAATTTACAGTAGTCCCCGCTTATCCACAGAAGATACATTCAAGACCCCTCCCCATGGATGCCTGAACCACAGATAGTACCAAACAGTTTTTTTTTGTTTGTTTGTTTGAGAGAGGTATTTTTGCTATGAGGTGTGTATGCTCACCAGAAAGAAAGTGAGAAATCACCCCCCTGGGGGGATGGCCACCCTACAATCCCTTCTCTATTCTCTTCTTGGGATTTTGGACACACACACATACATATGCCCAGCAAGAGTTTCAAGTCGCTGAGTCGAGGACTCAAACTGCAGTTCACCATGTGGAAGTCCAGCAACCTAACCATTATACCTCCCGCTGTTCTTAAAATATGTACATAAGTAAGATAACTTATAAATTAGGCACAGTGAGAGATGAATAATAATAGAAAAACATAACAATATACTGTAATAAAAGTTATGTGAATGTGGTCTCTCTCAGAATATCTTACTGCACGATCGTCACCGACGTCTGGATGACAGGTGACCACAGGTGATGGAAACTGTGGAAAATGGTATCATGGATAAGGGGAAGACTACTGTAATTCACAAAATGAAGTAAGAATTTTAGTTGAAGCAGACTCAATCAACCTAACAGTGACAATCGGATGCTTTTCTTTTTTTTTTTTTTTTTTTTAATTTTTTTTTTTTTTGGAAACTAAGATTTTTTTGCTATGGGATGCATGTGCTTGCCAAAGAGACAGAAAGAGACAAAGAGACAGAAAGTGAGAAATCATCCCCCCAGAGGGGATGGCCACACTGCAATCCCTTCTACCCCATTCTTCTCTCGGGATTTGGGGCATGCATGCACATGAGCCTGGTGTGTGTTTTAAGCCCCGGGTCCGGGACTCGAACTGCAGTTAACTACATGGGAATCCAGTGACATAAGCATTACATCATCTGCTGGGCCGCACTGTTCAGTTTTAATAGTAAGAGAAGAGAACAAGAGATTCTGAGTATCTGAAAAGAGTACTGTATAGGAGGACACAAAGTAGAGAAAGGGAATATTCGTGAGCTAAAAATCATAATAAATTCTAAGTAGTTAACATGTAATGTCTGATTAGTGAGCCAAAATAGGATATACATATTATTTATATTAAAATACAGAAATAGGGTGGTGTCGTGGTTAAGGTGCCGGACTCCCAACATGGCCGACCACAGTTCATGTTCCGGACCTGGTAGCTTGTCTTCCCACTTTCTCTTTCTCTCTCTCTCTTTTGAGTACATGTGCCCTGTAACACATTTTTAAAAATAATAGTAATAAGGGACCAGCAGTTAGCGTAATAGCTATGTTGCTGGACTCCAACATAGTCGACTGCGGTTCACGTCCCGGACCCGGTGGCTTAAACTCACGCCAGGCACGTGTGCGTGCGTGCCCAAGATCCCGAGAGGAGAATGGAGGAGAAGGGATTGCAGCGTGACCATCCCCCCTGGGGGGTGATTTCTCGCTTTCTCTCTCTCTGTCTGTCTGGCAAGTGCACGCGCCCTATAGCAAAAAAAAAAAAAAAAAAAAAACTCTCCAAATAATAATAATAATAATAAATAAAATTAAGAAAATATGTAATAAAATACAGAAATAATTATCAGGAAGAAAAAAACTGAAGGTGATGTCAGAGAAGTAGAAGATGGGTTTTAAAATGTTTATTTCTTTCATAAAAGTGAGAGACAGTGACAGAGACAAGCACCCTCAATGGGGTCTGGTGCTGCGACCCCCCACTTCCAACCTTCCTAGTCAGCCAGAATCTGGGTGCTCACACCAGTATGTACAGGCTGATCAGGAAACCAAACCCACAATCTCCCATATGTATCCATCTTCTCTTAAGCAGCACATTACTGCTGCACAACCAAGCCAGCCTTAGGACAGCTATTTCTTTAACAAATAAATCTTCTACTACTGTTTGCTTCCCAAACCGACAACTATTATTAAAAACAAAACAAAACAAAGAAAAGAGTAATGGTTCAAGGGATGGATTACCAAAAGAATAAATGACATCAGAAGACAACAGAACATTACATAAACATTACTATTAGGTGTACTGACAAAACAGAAGCACAGTATACCCTTGAACAATGTGGGGCTACAGGCGCAGACTTCCACTCAGCTGAAAATCCACGAATACCTCTTGACTCCCAAAAACCCAGCTACTAATATCTTTCTGTTGATTAGAAGTGTTGCTGATAACATATACAGTCAACACATATTTTCGCATGTCATACGGATCATGTATTTTTATAATAAAGTAGGTTAGAGAAAAGAAAATGTTATCAAGAAAATCATAATAGGGGACCAGCACATAGTGTAAAGGCTATGTTGCTGGACTCCCATGTAGTCAACCGTGGTTCAAGTCCCGGACCCAGTGGCTTAAACTCACACCGGGCACGTGTGTGTGTGTGTGTGTGTGTGTGCCCAAGATCCCAAGAGGAGAATGAGGAAAAGGGACTTCGGAGTAGCCATCCCCCCTAGGGGGTGATTTCTCTCTCTCTCTCTCTCTCTCTCTTTCTAGAGAGTGCACACGCCCTATAGCAAAAACCTCTCAAAAAAAAATATCATAGAAAAGAAAATACATTTACAGCACTATACTATACTTCCCAGTATGTTTACTAAAACAATCGGTATATGCAGTGGATTTACACAGTCCTGACCTGTGTTGTTCAAAGGTCAAGTGTACTTCTATCCTGCAACTGTTGTAATTTTAACAACTTTACTTAACGACTTATAATTCTGATGTATATAAATTTTCACCCCAAGGAAATTCACTAATTAAAGTATTTACTATAGAAAAAACAACTGGGAATCACTTTCCAGAGAAGTAACTTCTTAAACAGAAAGATAGATAAAAATAATAATAATAAAAGTTTTTTCTTTGACTTTTTAAAAAGACTTATTTTATTATTATTATTATTATTATTTTCCAGTTTGTTCAGAGAGAGAGACAGAGAGAGAGAGAGAGAGGAGAGAGGAGAGAGCAAGCCACCAGGTCTATCTAGGACTTGAACCTCGGTTGGCCATGTGGGAGTCCAGCACCTCTAATCACTACGCCACCTGCCAGCCCCTTTTCTGACTCTTAATGCAATGCAGTTATTTCCAAAATACTGTGTCACTAGACTTAACCATTACTTTGTCAAGAACCCCAAATACAGAACATAGAACAGCAAAACTTAAAAAAATTTTCAAAATTTTCTACTGTTAAGATTTCTAAAAAACAAAGCCAAATACATCCAATGATTAACCAATTGTGTTTCATTGCAAATGCCACTACTGCCTTAAATACAAAAGCACCAATATTTTAACAAAAAATATAGCCAAAAGTGATCCTCAGAATTCTTTAAAAGGAAATGGAATTTTCTTATAGGTTGAGACTTCTGAAACAATCTAAGTACTAAGTCTATAACTTATATTGGAATATGGGTATCTATAAAGAACACAGAAAGATCTGTTAAAGGTGATCTAACTTTTACTATGTTTTGCTACTTTTTTAAAACTACCCAAAAAAACACTATTTGGTGAACAGAAAAGGGAAACACCTAAAACTATTTTATTGCCTGTCATAAATACAAAGCCTATGAAAAAGGAGGCATGTGAAATTACTAAATATAACCAAGTTTATGAAAATATCAAGAAATGTTTCAAAGTCCAGGAAATATAAAGTGAAAACATTCTTGATAAAGTTTTTGAAAAATTGTACTTTCACTAAGGCTAAACTTAAAATTTTTAAGGACAGAGTATACGTATGTTAATTAAAAAAAAAAAAAACTGAACTGTGATAAGCTGGTGCTACAGGGGCTACTAACGCTTACCTCAAGGGAACCTACTGCAGACAAAGTCCGTCACTTGCACAGTCCTTTCAGCTGCCTGCCAGTTGTCTCTGTGGAAGGGAAAGCCTGATGAGTGAAAGCCCCATGCCACACTCCCTTGGAGTGTCAGGGTGCCTGCAGAGAACTGCACAAAACTGTCTACCTAGAGATTCCTAAAAAGATGCCACCTATGAAGTTCCCTTTCTACTGAACACTAAAACCAAATGCCTAAGGGTTACTGAGTTCTAATGACCTATTGGTATTATCAAGGTGATATGTCTACATTAACTCATATAGAAAAAAAGACTAAAATGGATCAAGTAGAAATAAGTTAACGCTGGCAGGAAAACACACGCACACACAGATAAATGTTGAAAGTGACAATCGTAAAATCTAAGCAACGCAGAGACCATGTCCACAAAAAGTAAACTTGCAGCATTAACAAATGAAGGCTTAAAACCCAAAGAACTTCCTGTCCACCCATTTTTAAAAAGTGTCATCAAGTATATAGCGCTTAAAGTGAACCATACCACGGATCCAAATGCCTACCATAAAACCCTGGATAATTTTTTGGTGGGGTTAGTAAAGTGGGTGGAGGGGAGGGGATTCTTCGGATTTTTTTAAATATGAAAAGTGAAAACCAGCAGCATGACGCCATAAGAAAATCTAAAAGGAGAAATAAATTTTTAATTGTATCTCAGAAGTATGCAATCTAAGAGGTAGATAAGAAATCACAGAAAAAGGTGAAACCCAATATATTTCAAAAACATCTTCGTTCATAAAATTATTAATGGCTAATAACTCCCTTCCATTAAGAACATCTATGCATCACTAAAGTACAAGTTTAGCTGCATAACCAAAGAAACTGTATTTTATTTCTAGGCCAAATACAGTCTTCACTCTGAACGCTATGCTTCATAAGGCAAAACAAAATACTCCTAAAGAAACTTAAAAACCATTAACCTCTAGCCCAAAGACGGATGAAGGAAAAAAAAATCTAATTAATTGAAAATGCTTATTTTAATAGTACCATATTTAAAATAAAATTACTTACCTCTGATTCTTTGTCACTTAAAGATCCCAAGCTTCCAAAACTGTGATTAGAGCTTTCGTTATTTGTTGAGGCCTGTTAAAGATTTTTAAAAAGGTAAAAATTAGAAATAATTTTAAATAAATATATTACAAAGTACATAATCTTCACAAACAGAAATAAAGTATGATTCCTATTGCTAAAGTTCTATCAAGTCAATAAACTTCTGTGTTTTAGGAATTGACTTGTATTATCTGATTTTTTCAGTACCCAAGTTCAAGAGCAAAGAAACCTGGCCATTGCTAAAATCACTACTCTAATGTGCTATATAAAAACCAAATAATTCCCATTGATTGCAACTATTTGTGCTCCTCAGTTCCAGTCACAGTTAACAAATTCTATCACATTTCACACACGTTCTTTACTTTTTCCCATATTAATAAACTGTTATTTTGTTTGAACCTGGGAAATCTTTTTACCATCTCAACCACTGGAATTGCTTTCCTAAAGAGTCTCTCCATTTCCTTGACAGTATTTTTTAAACTGTGACAAACAGATATGAGCTATCATTCTGAAGGATGACATCTGCTTTCTTTCTAAAATACTTCTTTGATACTTAATATTTTGTGGACTTTACTGTACCATCAGCACAGTAGATCCCTGCCTTCCAGGAATGTAGAAAGCAGATGCTGACTGGTCACAACATATATGCCAAAGACTGTGCAGGAATTAACTGCACGTTCATAGGCTGGTTGATATCCTCGCGTTTCCCCTTCCATGTATGAGAACAGCTGTTAACCCTACTACTAACAGATAGAAATATATAATTATCCTTACATAAATTTCCAAACTGACAACTCTGAGCCACTTCATACATGTCTAGTAATACACTGGGCATTATAAAGGCTATTTTCAGTACAGGACTGCACGCAAACTGATTATGATTAAGATTCAAGAAGTAATTGAAGGAACTTCTAATTTAATTACGGCAAGATTATCAAACTTGAAACAAATTACAACAGCAGCAGCAATTAAGAAGTGATAAATTAAAACAATTCTGGGACAATAAGAACAGTGGCAAAGTGTTGAGTGGTAAATAGTCAGAAAAAAAATGTACAAAACTAAAGAATAAACCAAAAATGCAGATGATATTTACAATAAAATTAGGTAACATTCTGAATTTCTCAAAATTGCAGGTGAGGTGGGACCAGCAGATGGCGTGATGGTTACGTCACTGGACTCCCACATGGTTGACCATGGTTCAAGTCCCAGACCTAGTGGCTTCAAACTCACACCAGGTGCCTGTGAATACGTGTCCAAAATCCCAAAAGGAGACTAGAGAAGGGATTACAGCATGGATATCCCTTTGGGGAGTGATTTCTTGATTTCTGTTTCTCTAGCAAGTGCATGTGCCCTCTGCAAAACAAACAAACAAACAACAACAAAAAACCTCTCTAAAAAAATTGCAGGTGTGGAAATCTCAGAACGCAAATACCACAATCTTGATGAGTGCCCAAAAAGAAAAACAGAGGGAGTTCTGTGAGAAAAGTCACGAGTCACATTCCTGATTTGTGTCCAGGAAACCCAACTTCAAATAAAAGTAAGCAACAGAAAATAATGTAGGTCAACCCCATAAAGTTATTAAAGGAACAAAAATAAGGGACAGAATAGCTAATAAAAACATACCAGGAACACACACACAGAATAGGTAAAAAACTGTAACCTACTATATTCCAGCTAAAAGGCATTACAAAAATGATTCGGGATATGAAACATCATGTATCACATTTCAAAAACCTCAGAAATAAAGTGACAGAACTTAGTAAAGTATTAGAAATAAAAAATAGTTTCAGAAATAAAAATCTGAATGAACCCAAGCACATATGCTTTAAGAAAACTAGAATGTAAAAATAAAGAACATTTTTTAAATCAAAAGAAATGAAGAGATAAAAAGGAATTGAGGGTTGGCCCCATAGCACAGTAGTTAAGCAGTGTACACAGGGAATCAGATTCCACATGGCCAACTCTGGTTCAAATCCTTCAGGCTGAAAAACATGCCTGGCATGTGTGTGTGCATATCCCAAATCCTGAGAAGATAGAGAAATGGAGGCAAAAGGATTATGGTATGAGCACATTCCACTGGGAGGCATTCTCTCATTCTCTCTCTCTCTCTCTCTCTCCCTCCCTCCCTCCCTCTGTCCCTCTCTCTAGCAAATACACATCCTCTGGCAATCAAAGAAAAAAGGATTTGAGAGAAAGTAACTAATGAATCAACAAAGATTCAAAATGCAAGTAGCAGAAGTCCTTAAGGGGTACTAAATCAAGAAAATAAGGAATAAAAACTTCCATTCAAGAAAATCTCCCTGAGGTTTATTTGAAACTACTGACCGAAAGAGGACAATGCATACTGAAGAATATCAATCCAAAAGGCCAACATCAAATTTTTCAAAAGAAACATTTTATGCCAGAAGGGGAGTGTTATCTTTAAGATACTCAAGGAAAGAAAATATGCTCAAATTGTCTTATAGTCAATAAAATTGATATTTAATACATAGAAGGGACATAAACCTGTAACCGAGATGCAAACAATCAGAAAATACTATTCCCATCAGCCTTTCCTAAAAAACCTACTAAGAACAAGCTTTGGACAACCAAAATGAATAGTCTCATCAGTTTGGGCAAGCAATAATATCATTTACTTGTTGACAAAGATTAAACAAGAACTACAAGGGTCAGAGTATATTTAATTGCCTAATGCATGTAAATTTGTTAACAGTATGGTATTTTTAAAATGGGGGATGGAAGTTTGTAAAAAGCACATGCGAAAAAATTTTTAGCTGTATTCCATGATCACAGTCATTGTGACAGTTCAAGTACTATTATTCTGAGACTGCTATGTGTATGAGATATACATGAAGTAAATAAATAATTATGGGGTGGTTCTAATTCTATCATATGGCTGTATGTCCTCAAGAAGCATAATTTTCAGCATAGAAGAAGTAGCCGATGTTAAAAAAAAAAAAACCAGGCCAGGAAGTGACGTGGAGGTTAAGGCACTGGATCTTACTTGGGTGATTGTGTAGCCTGCATCCCAGACCTGGCAACTTAAAAAATCATGCCAGGCACATACGCCTGCATGCCCAAAATATTAAGGGGAGACTGGAGAAGAAGGGACTGTAGCATGGCCATCTCCCCTTGGGGATTGATAATCTCACTTTCCCTCTCTCTCTGGTGAACCGACATGCCCTACAGCAAAAACTAAAAGAAAACACACATGCACAGAGAAAACATCACTTTATAGTCCTAAATTTAAACTGGAAGTATCAACATAAATCACTGTTTTAAAACAAACATACTACCAGGACCAGCAGATGGTGTAACAGTTACATCACTAGACTCCCACATGGTTGACCGTAGTTCAAGTCCTGGATTGGGTGGCTTCAAACTCATGCTGGGTGCATGTGCATGCATGCGTGCTCAAAATCCTAAGAGGAGACTAGAGGTGAAGGGATTGCGGCATGGCCATCCCCCTGGGGGGGTGATTTCTCATTTTCTGTCTCTGTCTCTCCAGCAAGTGCACATGACCTATAACAAAAAACAACAGCAACAACATACTACCAATAATCATAACAATAACAACAGAATATCTTCCATAAGACCAAATTTCCACAAGTGACCATAAATTCTGGAAACAATATAAAAAACAACCTGGAAAAACTTGAACAAACAAAAGTAGGAAGCATTTAGATACAGGCAACACTTGGAAGAAGAGAACAGATGTGGGAGAATTTTCTGTTTTCACAGCTTTTACCTGAGGGAAGGCCCAAGAGTCAGCGCTACATACAACAATTGAAAGTTGGATCAAAATCTGCAGATTTACTGGCTTGAAAAACCAGAGTTTCAGATTACCCCAGCAGCTAGAAAGCTGGAAATTAAAGAAGGACAGAAGGAGAGTTCCAAAGTCTGCCCATTAACTCTGCGTGTGTCCCTGGCTGGTCACTGACTCACATAAGAGCAGCACTGACCTCTGCAGAAAGACATGGTGCAGACTTCAGTGCACCCAAGTTAACTGCCTGCTAATACAAACTGGAACAAAAACAAAAATCAACACTCTCCAGAAGAATACACCTAACACCAGAGTCACTTCAATGTCTCGTTCACAGTGTGCAGGGTACAATATGAAATTTCTAAAATGAACACACAAGAAAATGCGACCCATACTCTAGATAAAAGAGAACATAGACCAACCATAAGATAATTCAGATATCAGAATTAGTAAAGACCATACAGAAGCTATATTATAGGTATGCTCAAAAAGACAAAGGAAAATGTTTACAATAAATGAGTGAATTGGAAATGAAAGCTGAGAAATATAAACTGTAAACAACAAAAAAGTACTATATGTTAACTCTAGAACTGAAGATTTCACTCTAAAATAAAAAACTCAAGGGGTGGGCTTAACAGTAGAATAGAGAAACAATTAAAGATAAATCAAAAGATAGGACCAGCAGTTAGCGTAATGGCTAACTGACTCCCATGAAGTCAACAGCGGTTCCAGTCCCAGATCCAGTGGCTTAAACTTACACCGGGCGCAGTGTGCATGCATGTCCAAGATCCCAAGAGGAGAATGGAGGAGAAGGGATTGCAGCATGGCTATCCCCGCTGGGGGGTGATTTCTTGCTTTCTGTCTCCCTCTTGTCTTTCTGGTGAGCACACACACTCTATAACAAAAACCTCTGGGGAGGGGGGAGATAAATCAAAAGAAATTACTTAGACTGAAGAACAAAGAAGAAAGTATTCAAAATTTGTGTCTGTTGGACACTGTTAAATAGTCAAACATATGGATACTTATAACTGGAGTCACAGAACGAGAGAAAAAAGAATAGAATTTGGGAGCTGAACAGGGTACAGCAGTAAAACATGACTCTGCAAAGCAGACCCATAAGGAAAGGATACGGCTTTGTATCTGAAAACCTCCCTGAATACTAGTTACATGTGTGTGTGCCCAAGATCTGGGGTGGCTGAAGCTGGGTCCATTACACCAGGACCTTGTTGAGGGGGCTGTGTCTCTGTCTGTCTCTTACTACGGAATGAAT